TAATAGTGTTATATAAAAGAAAACATTTGCAAATGTAAATATAATACCAAAAAATGTACTGTTTGTATGCCACATGTGATGAACTGAGAACAAACTATTTTCTGTCTTTCTTTTAAGTTACTGAAATATAAATCTAGATCTGATGCAGCTCCCCAGGCATCTCAAATTCATCTCAGTTTTAGAGCATTCAAAGGATTTTTAGTTTGCATATGAGCTAGAATTATGCTCTATTTTTTTTTTCAAAAGTAGTCAATCTAATATAAAATTTAGGTTAGGTTCATATTCAGGGCATACATTAGATTAAGTATCCTTTAAAGGTGAACTATACAATAAATGATATACCACTTATACCATATAACTTGGTCTGAATACCGGCTGAGACAAGCTTGGAACAAACTTAAATGCTGAATACAACAAAAAGCCACCAAGCATGAAATATGGGTCAGTTGCAGCATCAAACTAAGCTCCATAGAAGCATCAAGTGTGCAAGTTTGGTTTGGTAATGCTGCATGTGCATGTATTTGTGCTTCAAAGTGAACCACAATGGCTGGTCATTAGTCTGTATCTGTATCATGTACATTGCAGAACCGAATTCAAGTCCTTTCTGAAGTATACATACATTTCTTTCCTTTTTTTTGTTTTTTGGTCAGTGTTTCAACAGATACTTCACTGCGCAATATTCAAAGGTTATCCCTCTACAGCTGCTCTACACAGGAACTTCCTATATGGTACTGCCTAAATATGAAATATCTAACCCGAGAAGAACCTTCATATAAAAAGATTTAAATCCCTTCTATCAACCTGAGGTTTTTATCCACTTCTGCTAAAAATACAATATGTTCAGAAGTCATATATACTTATCAGGGGGAAAATATTGGATCTTGAAAATCTCTATCCTGCAGACTCGGTGGATTTAAACAGCAGATAAATGCAAACAAAAATAAACAGATGAAGTTTTGAAGCAACAGCTTTTTCTCATATAGTTTACAAACCAACTGGGTTTTTTTTTAAAAAAATATGCAGCCGACACCCTGACACAAAGGATTCATACTTGTAGCCCGAGTGGACAACGTCTCCATCGGCCGATGTGAAAAGAACAGCTGAGGACGTTGCAATTTCATCAGGGACGCAGGTTTATCGAGTTATTATTTACAGTCATAAGATGCAACCTCATTGTATATGTTTTATATAAACAACCAATAATGATAAATATCAAAGGTGGAGGAAAATAAACTTATATACCTCATTGATTTCTTCCTCTCTCTCGCCGTCCGTCCGCCATGTTCACTCATCCGGGAGCTCGATTGTGCCACACCTACACACACCAAGATGGGCGTGTCGCTAGGTCAGGTCACATCGGCGAAAAGTTCAGGCGGATCAATTTCAAGATCATGAAGAAGTTTATGAAGCATGACCTTATGAAATTATGAGGTTAATATATTTTTTTCTAATTATGTATGTATATTTATGAACAGAAACTGAAAGAATAAGAAAAATTAGAATATATAGTGATCACTTAACTTCTCTACAAGAAAGAATGAAAGATAACTCTTATTTTACCCCCCATACTTTGTTCGGGAGTTCGTAAAACTAAACACAGTTGTCTTTCTTAGAACATTTCTATAAGAAGTAATTTTATTTTTCCTCTTGTTCATTTAAGAATATTAAGGAAAGAATGCATTTATTCATTAAACTTTAGACATGCCCGGCCTTAACTAAAACCTTATCAGAAGCCGAACAGCTCTAAATTGGAATTTGGGAATTTCCACGTGTTTTTTCCCTCAAGCTGAACTAACATAGAAAGCAGTTTAGAAAACAGGCCCCAAGACCATAAACTGAGAACAGACTTAAGTCAAAATTTCAAACCAATATAATTTTGAAATAATTTTGATAATGAAGCAAAATTTATATCATATATTTGAATTTAAATGTTATATAAAATTGCAATTTTTTAAGCAAGTACATTAAATAAAAGTCAAGATATTAAAAATCAAAATTTTGACTTCAGTCTATTCTCAGTTTATGGTCTAGAGGCCTGGACTGACCTAGTGTAAGATAAAAATAAAAACTAGACTGAGCTAATATTGAAAACTGGACTGAGCTAAGACAGAAAACTGGACTGAGGAGATGCCGATAGAATTTCAATATTTCTGTACTAGTGCGAAAGATGTGGATACAATAAGGAGAGGGACACAGAAAAGAAGACAAACGAAGTAACGTCTGTTAGTGTAGGTTCTCAAACTACACGAGGGCTACAAAGGAAGAACAACCCTAACTTATGAACTCTAAAATAGGGGATCTAAAAAGCAGCGCAGAATATCAAATAATCAGATTTCAAAGAATATTAACCTTCTTGAAAAAAAAGTACATGCATAGGCTATTTATTGAACTTAGAACGCTTTTTTTAACCTTCAGACTGACATTTACACAATAGGGACACATACATTCTATATTATACATTTATTTGACTTTTCCTGGTTTCCATGTTTGCTTTTATTGATAAGATATGGCTTATCCCGCCTTCAGTGTGACGTAAAAAACGTCAAGCGGTCCAAAATCTCACTCAGCAGTCCAACATGGATTTTTTTTGACCGCTCAGTAAAACATTGAAGATGTTAGACATTTAGAAGGATATATTTGTACAGGAAACAATTCTTAAAGGTATAACAATAATGACCACTAGTGCTAATTTTGAGGGGGTACAGCTCAATGGTTTTGGAAAACTTAAAGAAGACTTTGAAATGAAAGCATATCTACTGTACTAGACGTATTTAATTTAGTTGGGGAAAAAATCGTTGTTTTTATAGTATGGAAAACGATTTCGTTAAAAAAAGAAAGAAAACTAGGTACTCGTTGCGAGCAAGGAGAGGTCTTCCGTCTGAATAACCATCCTTATGTGTTATATTCCTTGCACGTAAATGCTCGTAGTAAAGACACTTAAATTTAACATGGATTTTTCAAAAGATTTTTTATTCATAAAAAATGGAAAGAGCACAGAATTCAAAAAGAGAATAAAGGTCAACATCATTAAATTTTATTAAGATGAAAACGTATGTTTAAGCAAAAATACTCAGATATAGTCGGGATTAAACTCAGAGCGCCTGCTTGAAAATTTAATATTGAAACCACTACACTAGCGCAAGGAAACCAGCCATCATCGATGTTTACCTTAAACTCATTGCCTGAAGTAACGACTGTCAGAAAGGTTAATTTTTTTTTCTCATTGAGCGGAGTTATAGGATGAAATCTAGCCAGCTAAATTTTGTGGAAACAGATTCACATCGGAATTTGTTACTTGAGTTTTAAAAATAAGTGCTAGCAGAAGAAATAATCTGTTACTGATGAAAACTATCGATATGTTTACTTCCTTTATTCTTTATGCATTCAACTTTTTATTCCATGCAATTCCAAATACAGACATGTCCGTGTAATCTTTTTTCTGTACCTCTACATTTGTCTACTATGAAAGGCGGGTCACGATACATTATTTCGCGCCAAACGTCACGAGTGAATCTTCGCGCCTTTTCAATATAGAATGTCTTCTATTGCATGGGTATAAGTGATAGCTTCAATGAAAAGTTAAAAAGTATATAAATATATGTTCTTATAGACTGATTTTCGAGCTTAAGAATGTATATTTATCACACTATATATATAACATATCGTATATGGGCTAGTAACATTAAGGCAGTGAATTCGTTAAAGTTTTCCTACATATTTCATACTCCTGCTTACCCCAGAAGTGGACTATTCCCATTAAAATTAGTAACACATTCATGAAAAGACTGAAATGTTTCGCAACAGAACACGTCTCGCCGTTTGACGGTCAAGGAATCTGATACCTTTTATATTCAGTAACTTAAATCTATAAAGGAGTATTTATATCAACTTTATTAAACAATTTTTTTTTTTTAATTTTTGTCGTTTTCTGACACTGTAAACCCTGCATGCATTTATTAAAAAGTCTTTATTTTTAAACTTTTGTCGTTTCCTGACACAAGCCCTGCATGCATTTGCTACGTATAAAAATTACTTTAAGTATTGATTGCTTTTGTCAGACAAGCTTCTTGAAAATCTATTACTTATAACCAATATGTATTGCCGTTGTGCAATCCCTCTAACTTCTCATTCCTGACATACACAAAATATATAAGAACAGTTTTTTTAGTTTGTTGTATGTAAAAGATTAAGTGTAAATGTAGAACCAACGTTTTCGGTAACCATCATCATGAAGAATTATAGCAGTTATGTTTTATAAATGCTAAGTATGTAAAGTTCCAATAACATTTCACTACAAAACTCTCTAAGATGGCTGCAATGAAACAATTTAAGTACTCAGATATTTAATATTGTTTATTTGTTGTCACAATTTGTGAAGATTTACATGAATATTGAATTTATATGTTATTACATGTACATGTACCTTGAAAAGAATGTTTGAAAATGGCTACCGTTATACCATGACTCTGAAAAGAGTTTAGGAAGCAAATGTCATTTATTATAAGTAGTGCATTACACATTATATATAAATTGAAATGTCAAAACAAATAGACAGATAACACACATAAAATGAATTAAGATGGCCAGTCACTTCACTACACTTTGTGCCTACATATACGATTATTAAAACCCCTTAAATTGCATTAAAAAGCACTATCCAGGTTTAGGCCAGGTTTATTTTCCAAAGAAATTAACATGCAAACAAAGCAGTTTTCATACAACATTGCATATTCGTAACAAAATGCATTAAAATGCATCCAAAAATAAAATAAGCCTCCTCTGCCGCCCAGGAAAAACCATATATTAAAAACAAAATCTTTCAAAATTTGAAAAAAAATGATGGAAACCTGTGAACCGCGGCAAATGCAGAGTAAGCAAAAATATGAGTGGCGGAACCTCACTCTATTTAATTATGAAACAATATTTTCATGAGTTATGAATTTTGCAATATAAACATAAATTTATATATTGATAAAAAAAACTTGTTTTTCTCAGGACAGTGTGCACTAGAAAGTGACCATTTAATAATACCCCTTTAATAATCGAATGTTTGCCCATGCAATATATTCTGAAAAAAATTTTGGCTGTAGCCTAAATAACTAAAACTTAGTAACAAGACATTTCCGTAACATTGTTTACATGTTGTTAGGGCAATTAATTTTTGCTAATACTACATAACACAAAAATTGTTATACTGCACTCATCATAAACTTTCCAAACAGCATTAAACATCAAAGGCTAGAGTATAATCACTGACATTAAAAACTTCCCAGGGAAAAAACATGGATAAAAAGTCACACATGTGTCCAACAAAAAAATAATGGAAATCTAAGGATAAATGCAAGACATCGCATTCATTTGATAGAACTATAAACTGGTCAATACGTCAACTGGTGTAACAAAGAAATTAACTGCTGGGGGTGATAATAGCACATACGTGTTTTGGTTCAAAACATGAACAAAAGAAAGGAAGGAACAAAGACCGGAAAATGTAATATCCTTCTCAAAAGGTCACAGATCCTTCAAACAAGATCTTCGCACAAGGTCACAGATCTTTCATACAAGGTCACAGATCCTTCACATAAGGTCACAGATCCTTCACACAAGGTCACAGATCCTTCATGTAAAATCACATATCCTTTACATAAGGTCACAGATCTTTCACACAAGGTCACAGATCCTTCAAACAAGGTTACATATCCTTAACACAAGGCAGCAGAACCTTTTCATAAGGTCACAGATATACTTCACAAAAGGTCAAGGTCCTTCACAAGGTCACAGATCCTTCATACAGTCACCAATTTTTCACACTATATGTAGGTCACAGATCCATAATAAAAGGTCACAAATCCTTCACACTAGTTCAAAATAGAGTTCTATATCTCCTTCAACAATAAACGTCTCTCCTTTCATTTCTGATGATCCATAACATGAATTTATTTTGATGTGTTGCCCAACTTCCTTCTTTCCATAAATCAAGACAGCTCAGATGATTCACAGGATGTGTTCTATCAAATTAAAAAAATGTCAGTTTAACAAATGAAAAGCCAAAAAGTGATATCGTATAGACTTCAGTACCTAAGAAAATAAAAACTAGTAAGCTATTGAGTTTCAATAATATAAAATCAATCAATGCATTTCAGAAACAATGCCAAATTTAGAGGCTCAAAGGCTTTTACAATCACTTGAATGTCACTGCATTTTTTTCTGAGCCAAAATGTGTTCTATTTTCTAAACTACTTTTTTTTCTCTCACAAAACTGGAGTCAGCTCCATCTAGATTTAAAGGGAAATGATTTACACAAATTTCAATTTAAACTACCTGAGGGCATTTTTGTAGTAATTTGACAATTCGAAGCCTAATATTTTGGGGAGAGAATTCCATGAAATTTCTATACGTTCTAGAGAAAAGATGAAATTGTAAAAGGTTTACAAAGAAAAGGATGATGACAATGCTGACAACAATAGACAAATTTTGATCAGGAAAAACTCGGCTTAGGTGAGCTGAAAAAGCCAGACAGTGCAAGATGTGCCATTGTGTCTTACCAGCATGTCTTGGATTGGCCACAGTCAATCCCTGAACTTTTGCTGGTAGGTAACTGTCTGCTTCTCTCATGAGAATGAACACAGTCCAACCCTGTATGTATGAACAAAGAACATCTACATGTCTAAGGAAAAAGGATTTTCTTGACACTTGGAGAGCTACAAGTCTTCAGAGAGCCAGAAGCACATCAACATATAAAATATTTTACCATCAATTCTTGGGTTGACTGCACTTGATCCCTCTAAACATTTTGCACACTTTCTGTCAGATGAAAGTCACCAGCTTGTCTTGGGATCTACACTAGCACTACCCTAGATCTAACCCTGACCTATTAATAAAAAATATCAAATTGCAAAAGAATTGCTTACACTTGTAAAGTGGAAAAAATATGAATATCAATAGAATACTGGATTGGCATATTGCATCTTACCATCATTCATAGGGTTTACAGCAGTCTATCCCAAAACGCTCAGCACTCTTGCTTTCAGGTGAGATTCTTCTCTTAAGGATTCTGGATAGAGGTTTATCTTAAACTGCTGAATAAAAATAGAGAAACAATCTCAATACATAAAGGGTGAGCACCCCAAAAATCTAGAGAGTACTGGCATTATGACATGAATCTTACCCTTTTTTCCATGGTTTGCCACAATCGATCCCTTATCTTAAGACTCCTGCTGACAAATAATGGAGTCGTATCTCACACTGGGATTGAAGCTTCCCAAACCATTCTCCTGCTAATTCAAAAATTAAGAAGGTCAAAGGAGTAATACTATTACTTGCTGCTTTGATCAAATTACAATTAAAAAGTGGGATCCAAAAGAGTAACTTGTTACTTACCACATTGGCCAACATTTTCTGCTGGTCATAGCTTGGCAATGGACTCTCAATCTTCTGCTGACTGGACTTAGTACCTCTATGACCAATATCCCAGCCTAAATCTTCTGCATCTTCCAATGATTGCTGCAGTTGAGTTTAAGACATACTTCTTCTCAATAAGGGATCTAGTTCAGCCAATATTCTCTCTGCTACCAAAGATGTTAAATCAAGGGTCAAATGAATCATGAATACTGCAAACAAAGGGTCAAAGGAATACTATAATAAACAATTTGCTGTATAGCTCAATACGATTTACAAGTTTGTCTCAAAAGAACACAACCCTTAATTTCCTATGAAAATACAACTATTCTGATATGAATCTCACCATTTAGTCCATTATACCACATTAAATTCGCTGCACCTAACCCATCTGCAGCTGATGAACTGGGTCCTCTTTTGCTCCTTGGGATGGGTCCTTCTCTTCTGCTCTTCGGGATGGGTCCTTCTCTTCTGATCTTTGAGATAGGTACTCTATTGTGCTCCCTGGGATGGGTCATTCCCTTCTGCTCCTTAGGATGGTTCTTTCTCTTCTGCTCCATAAGATGGGTCCTTCTCTTCTGCTCATTAGGATTGGTCCATCTCTTCTGTTCCTTGGGATGTGTCCTTCTCCTTTGCTCCTTGGCCTAGGTCCTTCTCTTCAGCTCCTTGGGATGGGTCCTTCTCTTCTGCATCCTGTCAGTGGAAGTCAAGAGGTCAAGGCCAAACCAGGTCAACATCAATTGACAAGTAAAGATGGGGAAAGTTTGCAGCGAGCAGAATTCAAATCTTACCGCATCTTCCAACGATGACTGCAGCTGATTGGGAGGCAAGGTTGGTCCACACCAGGGGCTGCAGTTCATCCTAACCGCCTACTGCTAAAATAAAACAAAATTCAAGATGTCAAATGAATTTTAAGACTTCATAGCAACTGAACAATAGCCCAAGAAATCCACACAAGATAGATTTCATCACATGAATCTTACCTTTTCTTCTCTGCTTGCGTGCAGTAAATTCCTCGCCCTGCTCCCCACCCTCCTCTTGACAAACAAGGAAGTTGTTCCTAACATTGGGATCCAGGCATCCTCCTATTAACACAGAGAGTCAGGATGTTAAAAGAAATACCCTAAATGTTTTGATCAACTTAGAATAAAAACAACAGGAATCAAAATTGCAACAAATGCAGTATGTTCTTACCACTCTGGCCAATGTTGGTTTCTGCTCATAGCTGGGCAATGCAGTCCTCTTCTTCTTTTGGCCGGCCAAAGTCCTCTTCTGTCGTCGTCCCTCATCTGAACCCCTGAAAATATACAACTGACAAAAGATTAGTAAAAAATCAAAACAATTACAGGAATTAAATAGAAATTCACAAAACAATTGCAAAAATTCACAAAATTATAAGCAAAAATTACAAAATTACTTGAAAAATAAATTAGCAAAAGGGGACTGTTACTTTGGGAAAGGGCATAAGAGAGGTGAGAGTAGAGGAGGGGAAGGGAGATGGTTAGTCATGTTAGAGTAAGGAGGGGACAGGAAGAGAGATAGAGGGATAAATCAAAAAGCTTCTCTATCGGGCTCTCTGGCTGATGAACTGGGTCCTCTTCTGCTCCTCGGGATGGGTCCTTCTCTTCTGCATCCTGTCAGTGGAAGTCAAGAGGTCAAGGCCAAACCAGGTCAACATCAATTGACAAGTAAAGATGGGGAAAGTTTGCAGCGAGCAGAATTCAAATCTTACCGCATCTTCCAACGATGACTGCAGCTGATTGGGAGGCAAGGTTGGTCCACACCAGGGGCTGCAGTTCATCCTAACCGCCTACTGCTAAAATAAAACAAAATTCAAGATGTCAAATGAATTTTAAGACTTCATAGCAACTGAACAATAGCCCAAGAAATCCACACAAGATAGATTTCATCACATGAATCTTACCTTTTCTTCTCTGCTTGCGTGCAGTAAATTCCTCGCCCTGCTCCCCACCCTCCTCTTGACAAACAAGGAAGTTGTTCCTAACATTGGGATCCAGGCATCCTCCTATTAACACAGAGAGTCAGGATGTTAAAAGAAATACCCTAAATGTTTTGATCAACTTAGAATAAAAACAACAGGAATCAAAATTGCAACAAATGCAGTATGTTCTTACCACTCTGGCCAATGTTGGTTTCTGCTCATAGCTGGGCAATGCAGTCCTCTTCTTCTTTTGGCCGGCCAAAGTCCTCTTCTGTCGTCGTCCCTCATCTGAACCCCTGAAAATATGCAACTGACAAAAGATTAGTAAAAAATCAAAACAATTACAGAAATTAAATAGAAATTCACAAAACAATTGCAAAAATTCACAAAATTATAAGCAAAAATTACAAAATTACTTGAAAAATAAATTAGCAAAAGGGGACTGTTACTTTGGGAAAGGGCATAAGAGAGGTGAGAGTAGAGGAGGGGAAGGGAGATGGTTAGTCATGTTAGAGTAAGGAGGGGACAGGAAGAGAGATAGAGGGATAAATCAAAAAGCTTCTCTATCGGGCTCTCTGGCTGATGAACTGGGTCCTCTTCTGCTCCTCGGGATGGGTCCTTCTCTTCTGCATCCTGTCAGTGGAAGTCAAGAGGTCAAGGCCAAACCAGGTCAACATCAATTGACAAGTAAAGATGGGGAAAGTTTGCAGCGAGCAGAATTCAAATCTTACCGCATCTTCCAACGATGACTGCAGCTGATTGGGAGGCAAGGTTGGTCCACACCAGGGGCTGCAGTTCATCCTAACCGCCTACTGCTAAAATAAAACAAAATTCAAGATGTCAAATGAATTTTAAGACTTCATAGCAACTGAACAATAGCCCAAGAAATCCACACAAGATAGATTTCATCACATGAATCTTACCTTTTCTTCTCTGCTTGCGTGCAGTAAATTCCTCGCCCTGCTCCCCACCCTCCTCTTGGCAAACAAGGAAGTTGTTCCTAACATTGGGATCCAGGCATCCTCCTATTAACACAGAGAGTCAGGATGTTAAAAGAAATACCCTAAATGTTTTGATCAACTTAGAATAAAAACAACAGGAATCAAAATTGCAACAAATGCAGTATGTTCTTACCACTCTGGCCAATGTTGGTTTCTGCTCATAGCTGGGCAATGCAGTCCTCTTCTTCTTTTGGCCGGCCAAAGTCCTCTTCTGTCGTCGTCCCTCATCTGAACCCCTGAAAATATACAACTGACAAAAGATTAGTAAAAAATCAAAACAATTACAGAAATTAAATAGAAATTCACAAAACAATTGCAAAAATTCACAAAATTATAAGCAAAAATTACAAAATTACTTGAAAAATAAATTAGCAAAAGGGGACTGTTACTTTGGGAAAGGGCATAAGAGAGGTGAGAGTAGAGGAGGGGAAGGGAGATGGTTAGTCATGTTAGAGTAAGGAGGGGACAGGAAGAGAGATAGAGGGATAAATCAAAAAGCTTCTCTATCGGGCTCTCTGGCTGATGAACTGGGTCCTCTTCTGCTCCTCGGGATGGGTCCTTCTCTTCTGCATCCTGTCAGTGGAAGTCAAGAGGTCAAGGCCAAACCAGGTCAACATCAATTGACAAGTAAAGATGGGGAAAGTTTGCAGCGAGCAGAATTCAAATCTTACCGCATCTTCCAACGATGACTGCAGCTGATTGGGAGGCAAGGTTGGTCCACACCAGGGGCTGCAGTTCATCCTAACCGCCTACTGCTAAAATAAAACAAAATTCAAGATGTCAAATGAATTTTAAGACTTCATAGCAACTGAACAATAGCCCAAGAAATCCACACAAGATAGATTTCATCACATGAATCTTACCTTTTCTTCTCTGCTTGCGTGCAGTAAATTCCTCGCCCTGCTCCCCACCCTCCTCTTGACAAACAAGGAAGTCGTTCCTAACATTGGGATCCAGGCATCCTCCTATTAACACAGAGAGTCAGGATGTTAAAAGAAATACCCTAAATGTTTTGATCAACTTAGAATAAAAACAACAGGAATCAAAATTGCAACAAATGCAGTATGTTCTTACCACTCTGGCCAATGTTGGTTTCTGCTCATAGCTGGGCAATGCAGTCCTCTTCTTCTTTTGGCCGGCCAAAGTCCTCTTCTGTCGTCGTCCCTCATCTGAACCCCTGAAAATATACAACTGACAAAAGATTAGTAAAAAATCAAAACAATTACAGAAATTAAATAGAAATTCACAAAACAATTGCAAAAATTCACAAAATTATAAGCAAAAATTACAAAATTACTTGAAAAATAAATTAGCAAAAGGGGACTGTTACTTTGGGAAAGGGCATAAGAGAGGTGAGAGTAGAGGAGGGGAAGGGAGATGGTTAGTCATGTTAGAGTAAGGAGGGGACAGGAAGAGAGATAGAGGGATAAATCAAAAAGCTTCTCTATCGGGCTCTCTGGCTGATGAACTGGGTCCTCTTCTGCTCCTCGGGATGGGTCCTTCTCTTCTGCATCCTGTCAGTGGAAGTCAAGAGGTCAAGGCCAAACCAGGTCAACATCAATTGACAAGTAAAGATGGGGAAAGTTTGCAGCGAGCAGAATTCAAATCTTACCGCATCTTCCAACGATGACTGCAGCTGATTGGGAGGCAAGGTTGGTCCACACCAGGGGCTGCAGTTCATCCTAACCGCCTACTGCTAAAATAAAACAAAATTCAAGATGTCAAATGAATTTTAAGACTTCATAGCAACTGAACAATAGCCCAAGAAATCCACACAAGATAGATTTCATCACATGAATCTTACCTTTTCTTCTCTGCTTGCGTGCAGTAAATTCCTCGCCCTGCTCCCCACCCTCCTCTTGACAAACAAGGAAGTCGTTCCTAACATTGGGATCCAGGCATCCTCCTATTAACACAGAGAGTCAGGATGTTAAAAGAAATACCCTAAATGTTTTGATCAACTTAGAATAAAAACAACAGGAATCAAAATTGCAACAAATGCAGTATGTTCTTACCACTCTGGCCAATGTTGGTTTCTGCTCATAGCTGGGCAATGCAGTCCTCTTCTTCTTTTGGCCGGCCAAAGTCCTCTTCTGTCGTCGTCCCTCATCTGAACCCCTGAAAATATGCAACTGACAAAAGATTAGTAAAAAATCAAAACAATTACAGAAATTAAATAGAAATTCACAAAACAATTGCAAAAATTCACAAAATTATAAGCAAAAATTACAAAATTACTTGAAAAATAAATTAGCAAAAGGGGACTGTTACTTTGGGAAAGGGCATAAGAGAGGTGAGAGTAGAGGAGGGGAAGGGAGATGGTTAGTCATGTTAGAGTAAGGAGGGGACAGGAAGAGAGATAGAGGGATAAATCAAAAAGCTTCTCTATCGGGCTCTCTGGCTGATGAACTGGGTCCTCTTCTGCTCCTCGGGATGGGTCCTTCTCTTCTGCATCCTGTCAGTGGAAGTCAAGAGGTCAAGGCCAAACCAGGTCAACATCAATTGACAAGTAAAGATGGGGAAAGTTTGCAGCGAGCAGAATTCAAATCTTACCGCATCTTCCAACGATGACTGCAGCTGATTGGGAGGCAAGGTTGGTCCACACCAGGGGCTGCAGTTCATCCTAACCGCCTACTGCTAAAATAAAACAAAATTCAAGATGTCAAATGAATTTTAAGACTTCATAGCAACTGAACAATAGCCCAAGAAATCCACACAAGATAGATTTCATCACATGAATCTTACCTTTTCTTCTCTGCTTGCGTGCAGTAAATTCCTCGCCCTGCTCCCCACCCTCCTCTTGACAAACAAGGAAGTCGTTCCTAACATTGGGATCCAGGCATCCTCCTATTAACACAGAGAGTCAGGATGTTAAAAGAAATACCCTAAATGTTTTGATCAACTTAGAATAAAAACAACAGGAATCAAAATTGCAACAAATGCAGTATGTTCTTACCACTCTGGCCAATGTTGGTTTCTGCTCATAGCTGGGCAATGCAGTCCTCTTCTTCTTTTGGCCGGCCAAAGTCCTCTTCTGTCGTCGTCCCTCATCTGAACCCCTGAAAATATGCAACTGACAAAAGATTAGTAAAAAATCAAAACAATTACAGAAATTAAATAGAAATTCACAAAACAATTGCAAAAATTCACAAAATTATAAGCAAAAATTACAAAATTACTTGAAAAATAAATTAGCAAAAGGGGACTGTTACTTTGGGAAAGGGCATAAGAGAGGTGAGAGTAGAGGAGGGGAAGGGAGATGGTTAGTCATGTTAGAGTAAGGAGGGGACAGGAAGAGAGATAGAGGGATAAATCAAAAAGCTTCTCTATCGGGCTCTCTGGCTGATGAACTGGGTCCTCTTCTGCTCCTCGGGATGGGTCCTTCTCTTCTGCATCCTGTCAGTGGAAGTCAAGAGGTCAAGGCCAAACCAGGTCAACATCAATTGACAAGTAAAGATGGGGAAAGTTTGCAGCGAGCAGAATTCAAATCTTACCGCATCTTCCAACGATGACTGCAGCTGATTGGGAGGCAAGGTTGGTCCACACCAGGGGCTGCAGTTCATCCTAACCGCCTACTGCTAAAATAAAACAAAATTCAAGATGTCAAATGAATTTTAAGACTTCATAGCAACTGAACAATAGCCCAAGAAATCCACACAAGATAGATTTCATCACATGAATCTTACCTTTTCTTCTCTGCTTGCGTGCAGTAAATTCCTCGCCCTGCTCCCCACCCTCCTCTTGACAAACAAGGAAGTCGTTCCTAACATTGGGATCCAGGCATCCTCCTATTAACACAGAGAGTCAGGATGTTAAAAGAAATACCCTAAATGTTTTGATCAACTTAGAATAAAAACAACAGGAATCAAAATTGCAACAAATGCAGTATGTTCTTACCACTCTGGCCAATGTTGGTTTCTGCTCATAGCTGGGCAATGCAGTCCTCTTCTTCTTTTGGCCGGCCAAAGTCCTCTTCTGTCGTCGTCCCTCATCTGAACCCCTGAAAATATACAACTGACAAAAGATTAGTAAAAAATCAAAACAATTACAGAAATTAAATAGAAATTCACAAAATAATTGCAAAAATTCACAAAATTATAAGCAAAAATTACAAAATTACTTGAAAAATAAATTAGCAAAAGGGGACTGTTACTTTGGGAAAGGGCATAAGAGAGGTGAGAGTAGAGGAGGGGAAGGGAGATGGTTAGTCATGTTAGAGTAAGGAGGGGACAGGAAGAGAGATAGAGGGATAAATCAAAAAGCTTCTCTATCGGGCTCTCTGGCTGATGAACTGGGTCCTCTTCTGCTCCTCGGGATGGGTCCTTCTCTTCTGCATCCTGTCAGTGGAAGTCAAGAGGTCAAGGCCAAACCAGGTCAACATCAATTGACAAGTAAAGATGGGGAAAGTTTGCAGCGAGCAGAATTCAAATCTTACCGCATCTTCCAACGATGACTGCAGCTGATTGGGAGGCAAGGTTGGTCCACACCAGGGGCTGCAGTTCATCCTAACCGCCTACTGCTAAAATAAAACAAAATTCAAGATGTCAAATGAATTTTAAGACTTCATAGCAACTGAACAATAGCCCAAGAAATCCACACAAGATAGATTTCATCACATGAATCTTACCTTTTCTTCTCTGCTTGCGTGCAGTAAATTCCTCGCCCTGCTCCCCACCCTCCTCTTGACAAACAAGGAAGTCGTTCCTAACATTGGGATCCAGGCATCCTCCTATTAACACAGAGAGTCAGGATGTTAAAAGAAATACCCTAAATGTTTTGATCAACTTAGAATAAAAACAACAGGAATCAAAATTGCAACAAATGCAGTATGTTCTTACCACTCTGGCCAATGTTGGTTTCTGCTCATAGCTGGGCAATGCAGTCCTCTTCTTCTTTTGGCCGGCCAAAGTCCTCTTCTGTCGTCGTCCCTCATCTGAACCCCTGAAAATATGCAACTGACAAAAGATTAGTAAAAAATCAAAACAATTACAGAAATTAAATAGAAATTCACAAAACAATTGCAAAAATTCACAAAATTATAAGCAAAAATTACAAAATTACTTGAAAAATAAATTAGCAAAAGGGGACTGTTACTTTGGGAAAGGGCATAAGAGAGGTGAGAGTAGAGGAGGGGAAGGGAGATGGTTAGTCATGTTAGAGTAAGGAGGGGACAGGAAGAGAGATAGAGGGATAAATCAAAAAGCTTCTCTATCGGGCTCTCTGGCTGATGAACTGGGTCCTCTTCTGCTCCTCGGGATGGGTCCTTCTCTTCTGCATCCTGTCAGTGGAAGTCAAGAGGTCAAGGCCAAACCAGGTCAACATCAATTGACAAGTAAAGATGGGGAAAGTTTGCAGCGAGCAGAATTCAAATCTTACCGCATCTTCCAACGATGACTGCAGCTGATTGGGAGGCAAGGTTGGTCCACACCAGGGGCTGCAGTTCATCCTAACCGCCTACTGCTAAAATAAAACAAAATTCAAGATGTCAAATGAATTTTAAGACTTCATAGCAACTGAACAATAGCCCAAGAAATCCACACAAGATAGATTTCATCACATGAATCTTACCTTTTCTTCTCTGCTTGCGTGCAGTAAATTCCTCGCCCTGCTCCCCACCCTCCTCTTGACAAACAAGGAAGTTGTTCCTAACATTGGGATCCAGGCATCCTCCTATTAACACAGAGAGTCAGGATGTTAAAGAAATACCCTATATTTGTTTTTTGAAATAATATCACATATTTTTTTAAAAATTGATATTTACTTTGGTAACACCATTCATCAAACCCCCTTTTTATTGTTAATAAATTTGGTAACACTATTCAACAAAAACCTTAATTTTAGAGAGAGAGAGAGAGAGAGAGAGTTAGTGTGTGTATCTATAAGTTGTCTACTAGTGGACTAAGATTAGTTGAAATGAGAATAGAATTGTCGTATAAGTAGCATTTAAAACTAGAAATATGTCCATAAAACATGAATGCCCCACAGTGGGTAGTTATTTAAAATGAAAATTCGTATTAGTGTATGAAGTTTGGTGAAAATATACTAAATAGTTTCTTTAAAATAGTAAATTTAACTCTAAAAAGAAAGAGGGCGTACAAGGCAAGGACGATCCCCCGCTCTGAGACAATATTTTCTCAATTTTCAAAGTTCATGGGAAACTTATATTTTTCTAAAATTATATTTTTTGTACTGGAATATTAAAAACATTTGATTCAACTGTTTTATGAATGACTTATTTGGTTGATAATTTGCTTTTAAAGTTGCCAGTTATGCATATTACTTTATTTAGTAGAAAATAAGGTTATTTAAGCCATAAAAAAATTATTTTATCTTTTTTAAAGATGAATGGGTCAAGTCTCCATTCTACATTGTCTTTTATATGACGGAAAAGTAAATAAAATCTATTTTATGTTTCCAAAAAATGGAGTCTGAACCAATTCTATATGAAAATCGAACATTTCTGAAAAAAAAATACGCTTTAACAAACTCGTTTATTTAAATCACACTGACACACAACATTGTCAACAAGACTTCGTGGCCTATTGGTTAACTTTTACTCTTACTCTTATCCATGAGCTTTGAAGAGAGTTCGAATCACGTGTAGAGCTTTTATTCCTCTTCAAATATAACTTAAAAACATATATGAAAAATAAATTATTTATCAGTTAGCTATTCAATAAAATAAAGGAAGCAAATGTGTAAAAGATGATATTGACAAAAACATTTTTGAAAAATGTTACTTTCATGAACTTCAAAAATTGAGAATTTTTTTTTTCAAAGCGGGGGATTGTCCTCGTCTTGTTCGTTTAATTCTAGGGTAAACATGATAAATTCTTACCAAATTGTGACAATATATAAGTGCATACGCTTATATAGTCTCTTTAAACTAAGCAAAGTGCAAATTTAAGAATAGTGAGGTCAATGTCACAGGAAAGTTCTAAATTTTTTGAAGAAGTTGAATAGCTCTCACTTACACGTATCAGCATAATAAGTTTGATAAAAATATCTTGAATGGTTTATTAAAAACTGAGCTAAACACTAATTTAAGAAAACACTAATTTAAGAAAAGGAAACCCGAGGTCAAAAAATCGTTGATGCTATTGAAAAGCTTACATCAGTATTTATTAGCATATGAAGTTTGATAAAAATATCATGAATGGTTTCTTTATATTGAGCTAAACCCAAATCAAGAAAAGAGAGGTCAAGGTCAAAAGAAGGGTCAAAATATTGATGCAGTTGAATAACTTTCATCAGTATGTATCAGCGTATGAAGTTTGATAACACTATCTTGAATAGTTTATTAAAAACTGAGCTAAACCTTTTTTTAAGAAAAGTGAGGTGAAGGTCAAAGGAAAGGTCAAGGTCAAAAATGTTGATGCAGTTGAATAGCTCTCATCAGTATGTTTCAGCATATGAAGTTTGATAACACTATCTTGCATTCTTTAAAACTGAGCTAAACATTAATTTAACAAAAATGAGGTCACGGTCAAAAGAAAGTTCAAGGTCAAATAATATTGTTGCAGTTAAATACCTCTCATCAATATGTATCGCATATGAAGTTTGATAAAAATATCTTGAAGTTTCTTTGAAACTGAGCTTTGAGCTGAACTAAACGCAAAGCGCGACGGAAGGACAGAAGGATGGAAGGACGGAAGACGGACATGACAAACTCTAAATGCCCCGGCCGTTTCACGGCGAGGCATAAAAATAGGCCCTGGGTCTCTACCAGGGGGGGGGGGGTACCATCTGTATCTCAGTATAGTGTATTTATGTACCAAGTCTTTTTTTAATTGGAGAATTTAAGAAGAATATTTCACAAAATTTTCTATTTTTAGAAACCATGACAACACTGTGAAATCAAATACAAATATTAATAAACAGAATTATGTTTACTTGTATACCAAGTCTTATTGAAACTTGACCAAAACTCTAGGAATAGAATGTTACAGAAATTTATATTTCTAATTTTAGTACCTTGGCAACACAGGTGTTGAATTTATAGTCAAAAACTATTCATCTAAATATAGTGTACTTATGTACAATGTCTTCTTGAAATTGGACCAAAACTGTGGGAGGAATAGCGCTTTGATTGAATTTCGTAGAAATTTTTATTTCTAGAAACCATGAAAACACTGTGAAAATAAAAAAAAAAATCTGATAAAAAGAATTATGTTAAAAAATTTCTAAGTATAGTGCACTTGTGAACCAAGTCCTATATATTGAAATTGGACCAAAACTGTAGGAGAAGTAGAGTTTGAAAGAATTTCAAAGAAATTTCTACTTATGAATTATGTAACAGTCTACTGTAGCATTTTGAAACATGTTTACAGATGGACAGACGGACAGACAGATGGACTTCTTTCTATCACATTAGTTCTTTTGGACTCTGATTAGTAGAGCTAAAAAAATCACATACTCAGTAATTCTTTTTTGTATATTTTGAAAAGCCAATACATAATTATCTATCTTGTTGTAATACTTATGTATAAGATTTATCTAAATAGAATCAAAAGCAACTGAAAATTTTTAGGGGGACTTAACAAAATCTCTTTGACGAACAAAAAGAATGAAGGGGACACCCTGACCCCCCGTTCCTACGGGCCTGTTGGAAGGATGAACAGATGACGGACACCTATCGCATACACTATATAAAAACAACAATTTATATAATGAATACTCACAAACAACCTAGTTCTCTTCTTTATGAATAAATCGTATCTTTATATCTTCAGAATCAGTGAAATAACAGATAAAGGACTCTGTCAATTTACTGATAATTTACTGATAATACTGTTCACGGTACCGGTAGTGAACAAATGCGCACTTTTTTGAGGTGAATGTTTAAATTGACAAGTCAATTTTAACTTAATATAACTTTTTTTTAATTGATGTCATGTTCTTTTTTACCTTTCAATTAAATACGGATATAAATAACCTGAATAAAATAAGAACATTTTGATTTCCTGGCACTGCAGTAAACTGAAATCATCTCAGATAGTTTACCTTTAAAAAGCAACATTATACACTTGAGTGACCTCATGACTCAAGTTTAAAAAAAATGACTGTATACTATCGACTAGCAGATCATATTTTAAAAATTCGGTAAAGCCATTAGATTTAGCCCTGAAATCCTGAAATTTATTTAATAAATTTATTTCTAAAATAATTCATCTTGAAAGAAGATGGGTGAACGTCTTGAGCGAAAAGCCTATAGTGTGACAAACATGATTACTATAGTGATCACTATGAAAACTTTGATTTACTATAGTGATGACTACATGTATAAAAACTTTGATTTACTATCTCGATTATATCAAAATTTTCCTTGATATTTCATCTAACATTAAAACATACTTTATGTAAAATCTCTAGAATTTGCAAAAATCTCACAAAGTTGAAATTATTTGCTTATGAAATATTATACACACTAAAGAGGGCAAAAAGGGCCATAGGATTTGTGTAGTCTAGAGGTTAGCGCGCTAGTCTCGAAAGAAAATAATACTGAAGATTTTTATTGCTATGGTTCGAACCCCACGAATGACACATTCTTTTTTTTTTATAAAAAAAAAAATTACCGAGAAAATTTTCCTCAGAAAAAGAAAGTCTGGATATACATTTTTTTAATTTTTTAAATAAAAAACCATTTATGAAAATTAAACACATTATTTGTGAATATCTTTTAAATCTATCGATAAAATCTTCATAAAACTAGTCACAACTAGAGAGAACATGTTAGTCAATTATATTTTAACAAGAAATTGAAATGAAATTGCGAAATTTTAGGGAAAATAATTGTTTTTAATATTTGGACCATAAAATAATTAAAATAATAATTTATTGTTTATGTATTCACCACTAAGAAATGTATTTGACTGTCAAGTTCAATTACTTTTTAACCCGTAATACACCTAAACAAATTAGTATTTTCGTAAAAATATTGCATATTTCCAATTATTATAAAATTCTGGTTGGGATCAGTTTAATTTCGATCGGGATTGGCCAAAATTCAAAAAATTAATTTCTCTGGAATTTCGCAACTTCATTTCAATTTCTTTTTAAAATATGATTGTCTAACATATCCTTTGTAGCTGTGACTTGTTTTATGAAAATATTATCCATAGGTTTTGATAATATTCACAAATAATGTGTTTTATTTTCATAAATATTTTTTTTAATTTAAAAAATTAAAATGTCTATCTGGCTATTCTTTACATATTTTATTAGATATTCATATTATGCATTTCTGAACAGCAATTATTTTAAGTCTAAGGCATTTTATTTGCTAGTAAAACATTTTTTTTTAATTTTCTATGAAAAATTGGGAAAAAAATCTTGTAAAATAATTAAGAGCTAACATCGGCCTTTCAATGCAGAAACCATAACTTAACAGGGATGTCATAAAGATCTATGAAATAAAATTTTGGTGTTGCATTCCTCCTTAAAGCAGTTCTTCACAGATAAGCTTTTTGCGTATAAAAAAAAAAACACAAATTCGCGAGTATACTCATGTTAATACCATATGGACTTTTAAAGCAACTCAAAGCAAAGACAGTTTAAATATTGCTGTTATAAAAATAAAGCTAAATATATAATTTTGGGGAAATCTCAAGAATTTACGTTCGATAACCGGGGGGGGGGGGGGTCATAGTGTTAATTGCTTGAACT